ACATTCATAAGATGTTGCATAGAAATACAAAAATCCTAGGAGGCTAAGTCAAAGAGACTAGGAGAGATCCCTGCCTGCTCTAAGAGTCAAGGGCAGGGAAGCACCGACAGCAGGTTGCGAAGGGGCCGGGTGGATCTCCCACTCATTTTTCTTCTTGCGAGATGAGCCCTTCCCGACCTCCATAATCGATCCAGTGACCTCATCTTTGATCCTTTTGTCGGGGGCCTCGTTGGCCTCGTCATCCGACTCGTTATCCTCTGTACTGCCCGCGCTGAGATTGAGTCCCCCGTCTTGCCTCTCTATGTTTAGGAGAGCACCTAAATAGTTGGAAACTCTTGGAGGGTAGTGGAAGCGACCGAGTATGCCCCTCATCTCGGCTGGGAGCTATTTCTCGAGATAGTCATACCCCATCTTGCAGGATATCCACCTCTGCCTTCCCAAAGAGGCTCTGGCGATACTCCTCAATGATTTTTAATCGATAAGCTTTGGACTCCAATTAAGCAATACGACTTTGGACCACTACTAAGGATTCCTCGTGACAAACACCCTCCTTTTGGAGCATAGTCTGAGATAATTGCTCTTCCTTTAGCTTGTCCTTCACATGTCGAGTAGACTACCACTCGGCCTCGACTTGCACCAAGGCGCGGTCTTTCTCTTGTAGCCCCTGCGATATTTACTCGAACAAGTCTCTCGCCCTCTTGTTGCTTTCCTAAAGTTTGCACTTAAGCCTATTAATCTCGGAGGAATTTTGGATATCCGAGGCCTTCAGGTCCTCAATCATCTTCTCCTTCACCTCCATCTCTCGATGCCAGTTGACCAGATTACTTTCCTTGGCTGACAGTTCCTTAAGAGCTTTCTCTAGGTCATCCCCTACATTGGCCTTTCGCCTCTAACTCTCATTGGAGCTTGAGATAGGAAGTTTAGATTTGCTTCATCCGACCAAATATCTCTTGCTCCATGAGAGCCCCATGAACCATGTAGCTCCGGAGGATCAGATAGGGGCCAACATTGGGGACTTTTTCCAAAAGCTCTTAATCACGAGGAAGCCAGAACTACTCCTTAGCTCTTTATTGAGTGACACGAGACTCAAGAATTAACCCCTCACGTCGAGATGGTGGGCAGGCTGATGGCAATACTCTGAGCTTAGCTCCTGATTATACCGAGGGACGACACCGGAGGACCCTATTAGCAACATCCTCATCCTCTCCTAAATCCCTAACTTGATCTCGTCAACACAATGAGGATACAAATATTCTAGACCTATAGATGGAGTCACCTCCTCTCTAATCGACTCCTTCCCTTGACGACGAGATGACTCGATAAGTGCGGCAGGAGCCCTCTCCCCCCTCTGGGTCTCTTTTCTGACCCTGATTTCCGGTTGATTGGTTTCTTCATCTTCTCGGGCCGAAGGCCCCTCATCTACATAGATGACCTCGGTCTCACCCTCCTCAGTCGTTGTCCCACGCCCTTGGCCGCCAAGCTTCCACAGCCTCTTTTTTATCTTCTCGACTTGAGCGGCTGAGGATGCCAGACCCGTTAGCTTNAGTCACCCTCTATTAGTCCTTGGTTGTGGGAGTCTCACCGAAAATACCAACCACTCGCAAGACAGAACTATCGAGTATATGTTCCATCTTGTGAAAGCCAGCATATGCCCTAATCTGGTCCTAGGCATCCCTCTCGGCGCTCAACAAGTCCCCCACTGTTAGAGTCTCCCTCCTTATTTTGAGCCAATTCGAGCAGCCCAAATCCGAGTCGTTCCTCGAGACCCAGATGAACTTCTCCTTCTAATCCTTGTTCGATATGGGGAGATTGACAACAACTTTGAATCTGCCCACTACATAGAAATGGTAATAAGGTTTTTTCTGGTGCACCTTGACACCAATCAGATAATCCAACACACTCAAGGACGGTTGGATCACCAGCCAATGACAAATCACTACGAACCCCACGAGGGTTGCGATAACGTTGGGTTTCATTTGTACTGGTGATACCCCCAGAACTGTGAAAATGCGACGGAGGAAGGGATGTAGAGGCAAGCATAGGCTGAACTCCAGGTGTTTCAAGTATAGCGAAGCCTTGCTTGCGCCATGGTCATAGACTGCCTCCGACCTCGTTGGTGCCATTAGCTTGTAGAGGTGGGGGATATCAAATCTCCCATGTAGTGATCTAAGTTGTGACATCCTCACCTTTGAGTGGAGCTCCAACAATGGTTCTTGCATGGCATGTAGAACAGGCGCCACCATCGAAATATCCTTAGAAGATCGTCAGAGGAAAATGATCAGAATTCCTTTTCTATTAGGGATTAAGAATTTTTCGGAGGCAGTAAACCTCTCTCCCTTTGTGGTAGTCGTACTTATAGGCCACCGGACCGACAGTTGTCAGAATCCTAAACGGCTGAATCAGTATTTAACCAACGGCCAAGATTAATTCCAAAATTCGAAACGGCTTCTCTGAAATCAAGGCACAGCGCACCTACCTTGGTTAGCCCACAATCCGACGCGAAAAACGAAGCAGCAACAGTTAAAAGATATTCGCTAACATCAGCCATGTCGCATCCGCAGAACTTTTCAATTCCCCTCATTAATGCACATCAGGACTTGACTAGTGTGCAATCTCATTTCACTCGGATCCAGCCTGGGCCGACTCTAAGTGAAAGGGACCAACTGTTATAATCTTCAATTATTAGATAATAATCTCCATTCGGTAGCAGACAAGTGTCCCACATTAGTTGCCTAATTAAATTAGTTTACCACTTCGAGATATTTAATAGTCCCCAAGCTCGGACGTCTCGAAGGGATGACATCTCACGTAACTAGCTCCAAAGGCGGTACGCGTCAACCTCCTCGCCAGATCGACTCCACAAGCGACCTGTACGACCACCTATTCAGCCGGCATCTCACGAAGCCGACTCGAAAGGTGGTACTTCTTACCCCTCTACCCTATGAATAGAAAGGTGATGGCATACCTCAGCCCCCCACTGACAGCTGGTCGCCATCACATTAAATACATAATTAAAATCATCATTTCTCTGCCCTCCAAGATCTTTATAATGCATTGGACCATGTCGGCACCACGTGCCTCCTGTCACTTCACATTAAACGCCGAAGTGACTATCGCCACTGGGTAGCCGGCACCTGTAAAGCTAGTACTGACTCAGCTGTTAGCTCATACTCGGCCGAAGTTACCAAACCACTCCTCTACTAATACTATAATTGGGAAGACTATTCTCAGCACAAAGGTAAGCAATTTTCCTGCTCCAAAAGCTCAGGAACTTCTGTAATTTATTTTTTTCTCCATTCAAGCAATTTACTTACTTGATTGTCGGAGGAACAACCGGAGAACCCAACTCCATCCTCTTACGAGCTCTTATATGTGCAGGGAAGAACAACTCACTCCGAAACTAGACATTTAGAGGAGTTAAAGGACTCCTGACAACCTAGTCCCCCTCTTAATTAGCTGATTGATTATTAACATCAACAAATGGTATGAAGAGATGATGCATCAGAAAAGAGAGAGTTAAAGGCTGAGAAGATGTCATCTTTGATGACCTCCTAAAACTCTTGATAAAAGAGAATTGAGAACCCATCTGGACCAGGGCACTTGTCATGATGCAAACCAAAGACAACTGGTTTGATTTCATCATGAGTGAACATAACATTCAGGGTATCCACCCCCTGAACATGGTTGTGATACAGAAAAGACCAGTCTAATCTCAAGGTAGATTGAGAGGAAGTAGAGAACAAATTGGGGAAGAAATCATAGAAACATTTCTTTTTTCCAAGTTCAGAGGAGATAAGGTTATCATTATGAATGATATTAGGGATGAAGTTCTTCCTTTTGTTGAAGGATGTAGATTTATGGAAGAAATAGGTGTTATAATCTCCTTCTTTCAACCATGTGATCCTAGACCTTTGCCTCCAATAAATCTCCTCCTGTTTAGCAACATGATTGTATATTGTCACTGACTTGAATCTGAGTGAACCAGACTAGAAATAAATATCTTCTTCTTTTGAAGAATCAAGACTGTGGCTCACTCAAACGCAATTCATAGCTTAAAAAAATGTAAATTCATCACTGATTGTGGTTTCAAAAGGAAATTTATTGATTGTGTTCTACTCTCAATAGTGTTTGGTTTGAGATTTCAATTTGTAACTAAATTTTATTGATTGGATTTTCAATAACCTGTGTGCACAAATACCTGACTATAACTGCGCCATCCCATATGTGATGAAGAGTGGGCACAGTAAATTTTCAAAACCTAATTCAGTTGAGGTCCACAACTGGCAGTTGCAAACATATCATCAGGTACATCATCAACTTATTGGGACTTGGACATCGATTATAGTTGCTACCTTTTTGATATACAAATAAACTTTAAACGATAAATCCAAGTGCAACCAATCCCAACAGAAGTCTACAAAACCGAAAATCTCAAAAACAAACGTCTACAAAAAATTGAAGTATATTTGCAAATTACAAAATTTAAAACTGAACAAAGCAGCTGCAACTACAACTGCATGTAACATTAACACAAGTTACGATGCTGGAGGATAGACGATCCTCGATTCTGATCTCCGCAACCCGAAGATCAAACCACAATTTCATAAGATAGAAACCAACACAAGGAGGAAGAAGAAGAAGGACATCGAGTTTTACGTGGCTCGGTCGACCAAGTTTGACCTACATCCACAAGGCAACAATACAAAAAATTACTATGTATACGGGAGAACATTACAAGAGAGAACACTTATCTCTCAAATCTCACATACATACTTAGCATCCACTCATATTCTCTCCAACTTCCCAGATCTCAACTCAAGCTCTCTCACATAGGAGACGCTTATATATAGTGCTAACAAAAGAACCCAAAGGCTCATCGGGCTTATAACCCACCGGATACTAAAACAGATACAAGACAAATACTTACAATTCAATTATAGGCAGACCAATAGCCCTTTGATGAGCTCTTCAATTCTTTTATGAGGTGAATAGGATTTAGGAGGTGAACAGGATTTTGTTTGATAATTAGTAATGGCTAAAGCCCTAAGTAAAGACAGGACATAATATCCCAACAAAATTTCATACATGCACAAAAGAACACTTCTTGCAAGCGTGCGGACTCCCCAGGCCTTAAAAAATAAAAATAAAAGAACTATACATCTACATAAAAGGAGATAGCCAGCTACATCCCAACACAAAATTTCTTCTAATTTAGCTCAACACGAGATCCCCCAAAGTTACATACAACACTTTTAACGGGTAAACCCCGCTTCAAATCTTACTCCTCTGCCTAACTAGCTTCCCCAACGTCTCCTGCGCAGCCAGAGTCTGCGCATGCCTATGCCCAAGCATCACGGTCCGAATACTAATACAAGTCCTGCACAACTCCTCTCCGCTATCAAAATGCCCTCCTCTCAACAACAGCTTCGCCCTCGTCTCCAGCAGCGTCGCCTTCAGCAGCGTTACATCCTGCCACACGTACTCGTCGACCCTCTGCTTCCCCTGCATCTTCTTCTTCCAGCAGAGCGACCCGTTCCCCCAATCCTGAATCTGGGACACGAACGACTTCTCCACCTCCTCGAGCACGTTCGTGCAAACTTTCAGTAGCTCCAGCGCAGAGTTGCACCGAGAAAACAGCATGAACGATCGAATGGCCAATGGGATTGCGGTTCTTTTAATGAAGAGTACCATATCTATTGGCTTTAGTTGGACTATAGGAGGTTCGGATTTGAACCCGAAGACTAGGAATGCTGATGCCCAGAGGTGGTCGGAGTTTAGACTGGCATTCCCGATCTTTCGAACAGCTTGGACTGTGGCTTTGGCTGGTGGGAGGCTGCCGCGACGCTTGGCGAAGGATTGGGTTATAGGGTGGAATTGGATCCAGCAACCGGGTTGTTTCGTTGACCGCCTCGCTAGACCAAGCTTTACTATCATGAGGGCGGAGTCGGTTTCGTTCTTTCGGGTTTGGGGTGATAAGCAGCAGAATTTACCCCATTCAGAGAAATTATTACCTTTTGTTGGTAATTTGTCGGCGGCGGTTGATAACAGTGTCGATGAAATCGGCGCCGGAGCGAACCAAGCGCCAGCAAGAAGCATTCTTGAAGCAAGATTTTGACTAGATTTTGCTCGATCGAGAACTGCGAAGGAAAATACCAAGACTTTGATCAAGAAAGGATTGTTTCGGCTGAATGTATCTTCTGAAATCGAGCATTCATTTAACGAAATCCTTTCGATTGCTTCCAATAAGGCTGAGGGCGATATAAACAACTCAGAAAGCAATGAGCCGATCACCCATAAGCCAAAACTCAATCTCCCCAATCTCTCATCGAATTTTCTCAAGATTTCGAGTTCATCAGATGGGTAATCCTTCTTCTTCTTGCCTTTGAGGAGAATGAGTGAATCAGCTAAAGATAGCGGCGGGAGCTGGATTGGTTCGAAGCTCATCACCTTTGGTAGACGAGTAGTTACAATGACATGAGTTGCTCCGGTGTTTTTGGGGATCAAATCATGGAGGTCTTTACCTTCCCACCATTCTTTCTCTGTTTCAAGATTGTCGATGACTAGTAAATAGGGAACATCTCTGAAGAGCTCTCTCTTCACTCTCTGAAACGCATCTAATTCTTGCTCTTCGAAGCTTCGAATCTGTCCCCTTTCTTTCTCAGCCTCGGCGCTCACATCCAATCCCAAAACCATCGATAAATTCAGTAGGTTTTGTCGAAAGTATCTTGCTTCTCCTCCTACCCATAAGACTTTCTTGTACCTCTGAGAGTATCGATATGCAAACTCCATTGCTAGTTCAGTCTTTCCAATTCCTGCGATGCCATTGATGCATACTACATTGCTGTTTCCATAACCTTTGTTGCCTGCACCCCGAGATTTCTTATGCTTTGATCTCTGCCTCTGCAGGCCTCTCCCTTTGAAATCCATCACTGGTTCAATCCAAGCTTCTAGCGTTGGCTCCTTGCATTTCCTCACATCTAAACTGATGTATTTCCCATTGGTTCTGATTGTATCACTCTCTTCATCGGCGAAACCATCCGAAGATCCATTTGATCCCCCATTTGCAAGAACGGGTTTCGGGTATTCAATCTCTGGACCATCATTGCTGCATCCAAAGAAAGCGGCTTCGATTTCTGTCAGCTCTTTCTCTCGACCAACAAAGTACTTGCTCCTACGAAATGGGAACTCTTCGAATTCTTCAACTTCCCTTTCTGCAATGCTCTTCCTCCCAAGCTTCAACTGCAAAATCCTGACAATTTTCATAACACAATTTCTCCAATTGCTATCATTAGCTTCAAGCTTATACTCACTCCCCAGCTTTGTCAGCCCTTCAAAAGCTTCTCTGCTCTCCTTATCATCCAACCTCTCTTCTATCAGCCTACCAATCTCAGAAATCTCGGTATCGAACAGAACAGGCACAAGATTCTTCTTCTGAGCAAAGAATCTGATCTCTTCAACACTTGCAGGATTCAGAAACGCCGACGGAGTAACCACGACAACCCCAACGGTCGTCGAGCAAATGATCCGGTCCGCAATCTCATGGCTCTGAGTATTTGAGTACTTAGATCGATCAGCGGCGAAAGAAGCTATACCTTGTAGCTCAAGCTCTGATTTCAGCCACTTACAGAATCTAACAAGGTTGAGATTCTGGCCATGGTAGCCAATGTAAACATCACAGCTCCTGAACTTTGCGTTGGAGGAAGGAGATATTGGGGGTTTTGTGAAGGAGACTCTGGGTATTGGTCCTATTGGAAAAGAGAAGGAGATTCTAGGCTTCTGGTCACCTGGGTCAGTGGAGAAATCATAAGGGGGAGTATGAGAAGAGCTTGGGATGTCATCAGAGAATGAGATTGGAGATGGGATTGTGGTTGTAGTAGTACTAGTAGTCGTAGCTGTGGTTGTGTTTGTTCCTGTTGTTGGCAATGGAGGCTCTAAAGCTCTTGGAGAAATGTATGGAGATTGTAATGCAGAGACAAAGGCAGAGGAAGGAGGAGATGGGGAGTTGAGATTGGGGGAGATAGAGATTGAAGGAGAGATTGGGGCTGAGATTTCTCTATTGGTGATGTAGTTTTGAGTTATTTTGATGGTTAGTGGCTTTGTGTCGTTGAGAGTTTCTTCAGGTGCATCCATGAGAGCAAAAATGGGAAATTTGACGGAGGTTTTTTTTCTTTTACCAGCAAAAATGAAATGGAAGAAGAAAGAAAACTCACGGTGTGAAGCGCGAATGCTTTCTCAATCCATGCAAAGATCTCAGCATTTTTCCCCCCTTTGCTTCAGAATCTAATGGAATAAGCTCAAGCACAGAGTTCAACAACAAAACTTTGGCTCAGTGAAGAAGAATAAGGAAAGGTAACAGCACAGAGAGGATTCAAACACCAAAAGTTAAGGCCTTGGTATCAAAAGGAGCAACACAGAGACTGAAAGCCTGAGACCATGAAGAACCCATTAGAGCAAAAACGGCCAAAATGGCAGCAAAACCCAAGCAAAGATTTCTCTCACCATGGGATGAAGAGAAGAGAACGGAGAGAGAGAGAGAGGGGGGGAATCTTACTTAATGCATGGGTTTGATCTGTAAATGAATTGGCTTATTATATATAGTTATATGCATAACCAACAGTTAATAGAGAACTCTGAATGAGGTAATGAATAATGATATCTCCCTGTCATAGCCTTTGTTTATACGTGTGAGGCGGTGGGCTTAGTTTACTATATCCCAGGCTAAAATATTGCTAGAGAGGATGATCCTCCAGTGTGTATTGTGCTTACATGGTAGTGGGCTCTGCATTACAAGGATAAAATAAAATTATTACTTTGAATATTGATATTAACTTTAGAATTATCACGTAGTGAAAAAAAGTTTGCAACACGCCATCAGAAAAATCCAAATTCAAATGTAGGTATATATAATAAGCTGGGGGGAATAAAACCAGCAAAAAAATAACAAGAAAAAGGTATACATAAAAAGTACAAATCTTGATCCAGAAATATGCGCAAGCTAATAGAGCAGACACCCATTTTTATCGTAGCTTAGAGGTTTTAGTACAATAAAATCTTCTTTAAACGTACGGTTGTTTGTTCTGTTTGACCCCTACATTTTTGTTAATTTTACATTGACTCTCAAACCTTCATATTTCTGGATTAGACCCCCAAATCTTCGTATTTGTTTGAAGCCAGAGTCTTATTTAGAACAAGTTAATGGAAAAACAACCAACTTCATGAATTTGAGGATCTAATTTGAAAATATCAAAATTGGAAGTACAATATAGAATTAACAGAGACTTGGGGGTTAATATGATAAAATCCCTAGAACTTCACGGTGGTACTTTGGGGTTGGGGAAAAGGCTAGTCCACAAGGCGTTCAAAATTCACAACAGCTCCTCTGCCTGTTTTAAGCATGGCAGTCTGTGAACTGTGCAAACCTGCCAACTATTTTGGACTTTGTGCCTCTCTCTCTCTCTCTCATATTCATTTGATGGCTGACTCAAATATTGACCAGGCAAAAACCCATGTGGACTCCAAGTGAGGTTAGCCAGTGGAACCCCCACAATTTCAGCTGCAAGCTAGAGAACTGTATTCAGAATTGAGCTCCAGAGGGAATCAATACAAAGTTGCAAGTTGCAGCTAGGGGTGAGCACGGTTCGGTTCAGGTCAATTTTTACCAAAATTTAAACAACCGAACCGAACCACTTACAATTCAAAACCGAACCGAACCATTACAAATCGGTTCGGTGCGGTTCGGTTCGGTTGTTCGGTTCTAACTTCATCAAGTATAACTTCATTTCAATTTATCTTTTATATATTATTATTACCTTATGCCAGCATGTATTTGTTTTTTAACTTCACTTCAATTTATTATTCTTGCTCATGTATGTATACTGTTTTTAAGTGAAGTAACTTGTCCTTTTGGATTAAGTACTAGACTCTGACGTTGTAATTTTTTAGTAACGGACTTGCTTTGTCTTTGTGTAGCAAGCTTTGACTTTGGTCTTTGTAGAGACAAAAAAAGGAGCCGACTCATTAGAACATTGGTTATGTATGAATCAATTCCATGCAACTGCTATTCATGGCGATCGAACACATCAATAAACCCACAAATCAAAGGCACAAATATATTCGGTTGGTTCGGTTCGGGTCGGTTTGAAAAATTGTCAATCCGACCCGAACCGCCTTACTCATAAAACCGCTTTTTTCGGATCGGTTCAGGTCGGTTCGGTCGGTTTTTTCGGTTTGAACCGAACCGTGCTCACCCCTAGTTGCAGCCAGCGTAGTCTTTTTTTGCTCAGAAAGTGTATACTAATTTAAGGAATTAGGCCCAAAATACTTGACATAGATTGGTTGATTAGGCTTCAATAGAGACAATCAAAGCAACTGCTAGGGTTACAGGGCCTCCACTTCTATGCTTTATTTTAAGTTCAAATACTTCTAAAATGGTTTGCAAATTTTACTATTCATCTTCTGCAGGCAAAAGTTGTTGCATATGTAGAAGAAAGTATTTTAATGTGACTCTTCAATTACTGAAGTTGCAAGAGGTCACCGTCAACTTTAATAAGTGAGGTCAAAGAAAATGGAATAAATCAATTTTTTTCTTTATGTGTGCTCTTCAATTTTTTATGTTATTTAACTTCATAAATGATAAGAAGATAGATTGTACAGTTTACCTGCTAGGTTCATTCACTTGACCTTGTCCTTTGAAACAAGATGTCACCCTAGCCCACACACACACACAAACACATCCAAAAAAAAGTTCACTTTAGGTATAAACATATTTTATCTGTGCTTTGAGCATAAAATTATTTACTAACAAGTGGTTGGGCTAGTGGTATGCAATTTGGTCTCAAGACGGGCTCTTGCCTGCCCCAAGCTTGATTAATCTCATCTCCAATGTGGAGGTGAGAACAACCGTGATTAAAAGACCAAAAAAATAGTCAAATATTATTTTCTACCAAAAAACCACTTTTAATTAAATTGATCATATAATTTGAATTTTTTTTGAGTAACGATAAGATTTAGATGATTGTAACATCACATATCCATGGAGCGCATTAATTTTCAGTTTTTATTTAAACAAATTGAACATGCATTAAATTGCAATAAAAGGGCTCATAATGCACACGTATAAGTATATATGAATACATTGTTTAATAAGTGTTACTTTGTTAGAAGACCAAGGCTAGAAACTTTTTTTAAAAAAAAGTTTACGGGGTTTAAATATGTTGTCAATGAGTTACAGTACATACTTATCTATATTGCTCATCTTTTTGTCATCAACATGAAGCACCATCAACTTTCTAATGAAGCCAAGGAAAGGTTCATTCAGCCTCCACACATGACATGACTCTTTATTAAAAGGTTCCCACTTCACAACAATCTCAACCACAAGATGCCAAGGAACAAAGGTAGCATAAATCATAATGTGTAAGGATGCGTACATTGGTGGAGTTCCGAACAGGCCCTTAACATTATAACTCTTATAGATGAATGAAACAATTGATCCTAAATATTTAGCAACAAATCCTTAAAAAAGTTACTAATTAGTTCAGGTTAGTCATGTCTAATGAATTCAACATTGGTAAAGAATTGGTTATATGTTGGAGAGTAGTAGCCATTTTGTGAGTCATATGTGTCTTAAGTATGTGCTAGAGATTAATTAATCATTTCTTCTTCCTAATTTTCTATTTGAATTCATTATGTTCTTTGATATTTTCACTGTTTGACTTTATTCATACATGACCCCCCAAAAATCTTTACATTCTTTTATGATTATAACTCAATCATTCACAAGTAAAACCGACTTGTTTTAAATAGACAACCATAAAGAAATTTCGTCTAGCTGCCAATATCTCAAGATATTCACGATATAAACTTAACAAGGGTAAATTACACCAAACTCTAAGAACTTTTAACGTTTTAGAGTAAACCCCCAATAACTTTTAAAATCTCACTAAACTCCCAGTGACTTTTTTAGAAGCCCCCAATATCTCCTGGGTAAATTACACTACCGCAAACACCTTTCAGTATCCCTTTTTATGTTATTTTGTGGTTCTAATTTATAGGGGTTTTCTGCAAAACTTGAAAACTTATAGCGGTTTTTAGCAATCCCAGAAAAACATTGGGGTTTAGTGCGATTTTGAAAACGATTGGGGTTTTACTGCTAAAATGGTAGAAGTTCATGGTGGTTTAGCCTAATTTACCATAAACTTTAACTATGGGTACCAATTTGCTAGATAGACATGGGCTCAAATGAAACAGTAAAACAGTAGAGGGACCAGTAGAAGGTGATGACTTTATTGTATTTCAATAGCGAAAGCTGATGATACCCATAACTCTGCGGCCGTTGGTGCCCCAAGAAACAGACATCACCCAAAACTTTAGACTAATACTATACTTACATACGTCACATCGTCACTAATTTATTGACCAATACAGCAACAGGGAGAAGAAAAACATAAAGGAGTATAGCTCCACAATAAGCTCAGGTAAAGAATCTAACTCGTGTTACAGAGAGGCTTATCTCTTGATGCGTTTCTTTGGCTGCTAGCCTGCCCTGAGACCAATAGCATGATTCGCCAAGTGTCCTAAAATAAAAGCTAGTGGTGCATTGTGCAAGTCTCACTGACTTGTTTGATTGAGGTTATCTCTTCACTTTTATTACTGGAAACAGCTCAAGCGCAATTAAGCACCGAATGCTAGAAAAACCTTAAAAATACCCTAAAGGCATAACACAGGGCTGCGAGGGTCTGTAACGTGCAAAAAGACTCAGCATGAAAATGGTTCAGAGGACGAGCGAATGATTGTATAGTATTATTATTATTATTATTGGGTCTGAAGTTAGTGTTTGGCTTTCATAAATTTTTTTGGCTGTGTGTTGCAGGTATCCCTCATGTGATCTCAGCGTCTTGCACTGGTGTGAATGCCTATGTACAGAGCGTAGCTGATGGTGGGCACCACTTCAGATGAAGAATAATTGAAGATAGAGAGACTGATAATTAGTACTCGATCCCTCTTTTTCTCTCCATGATACAATTAAATTTGGTATGCATATGGATACTGAAGAAAGACTTCAAACATATCTAAGAGCCATGTAGATCGGCTATTGATCACACCCCTCACACTTCTCCATACGGACGCTAAGGTTTTTAAATTCTGAAGTCATTGTTTGTGCCATCATCTGTGGAAAGGAAAAGGAAAGAAATAAAAAAGAGCTAATATGATTTAAAATAGTGATATATACAAGAGGAAAAAAGAAGGAGAGAAAAAAAGACATGTACCTCATTGGTATAAGACTTTATAGTTGAAACAACCAAATCATCACCCATCACCGTACGAATATGCTTAACTATTTCATGGCAGGTAAAAAATTTTCTTCTATGACATAAACCAAGCAAGTTTTGGGAAGACTTGACCCTCAATGGGGTTAACATCAATAATCTGATCAGTAACATAAGATCTCAACAACAATATACAAGATAATATCACTGTTGAGCGTAGAGTCACGTCCTCATGCCGCGGAAGCGATATAACCTGAGAGAAAGCCTAGGCTTTTGTTGTCACAAAAGCTTAAGTCAACCTCTATATTCCCGTTTCATGAAGGAAACAAGAACAGAAAGTGAAATATCTCAACAAAGTAAAATATACACTCTTCCT